AGTATCACAGCCATCACTACCATCACCATCATCAGCATCATCAGCATCAGTATGACCATCAAAATCATCATCAACAGCATCAGCATCATCATCAGCATGGTCAGCAGAATCATCGTCATCATCAGCATCATCAGCATCACCAGCATCATCAGCAGCATCATAAGCATCAGCAGCAGCAGCATCATCATTATCATCATCGTCGTCGTCGTCATCGTCCTCGGCATCTCCAACGTCATCTCCATCGTCATCGTCATCGTCATCGTCGCCTGATCCTCCTCCTCCTCCTGCTCCACCCCCTCCTCCTGCTCCTCCTCCTCCTGTTTCTCCTGCTCCTCCTCCTCCTCCTCCTCCTCCTCCTCCTGCTGATCCTCCTCCTCCTCCTCCTCCTTCTCCTCCTCCTCCTCCTGTTGACCTATTGGCCCACTGACGGCGAGAACGCTAGCCTGACGCAGCTATCCCTTCTCCTTCTCCTCCTCCTCCTCCCCCTCCTCCTCCTCCTCCTCCTCCTCCTCCTCCTCCTCCTCCTCCTTCTCCCCTCCTCCTCCTCCTCCTCCTCCTCCTCCTCCTCCTCCTCCTCCTCTTCGCGCGAAAGGCCTTGGCGCCGCTGGTGATGGTGCCCCTCGGATGGACGTAGACATTCATCGTGCACCCCGTCGCCTCCTCACCAAGATGATTGTACGCCTCCGGCGCGGGCGGGCGCCTCCGTGGACGGCGTGTGCTGGGACGTCCCCGGAGGGAGGACGAGGGAGGCGAAACGAGGGAGGCGAAACGAGGGAGGGAGGAGAGAGGAGGAAGCAGGGAGCAAGGACGAGGGAGACGAAACGAGGGAGACGAAACGAGGGAGGGAGGAGAGAGGAGGAAGCAGGGAGCAAGGACCAGGGAGACGAAACGAGGGAGACGAAACGAGGGAGGGAGGAGAGAGGAGGAAGCAGGGAGCAAGGACCAGGGAGACGAAACGAGGGAGGAGAGAGGAGGACGTAGGGAGGAAGGACGAGGAAGGCGAAACGAGGGAGGAAGGCGGCGGAAAAGGCGTGGGGAGGTGATTGTAATGAGGAGAAGAGGAAACGGGAGCAGGGAACATGGAGGAGAGAGGAGAACGCGGAGAGAGGCGGTGAGAAGGAAGAAGGGAGGCGAGGCTGAGGCCAGCCTCCAGTTTGAGGGCTCCTCTCCAGAGCGTCACGCATGCCAGAGGATAGTCACGAGAAACCGCACGAAAGAGCGAACAGGTCACAGATGGATGCCTCAGCGAGAACATCCGGAGGCAAGCTGTACTACAATCACTCTGCTGCCAACACTTTTTGGTCTGCGGGGCGAGAGCGAACCTCTTCCGCTAAAAGCTAGGCGGGCTACGCGCAGCTTTAATTAAGGAGACAGGGCACAGGAAGGCGGCGCCTCAGGCGGCCGGAGCAGGTGGAGCCCGGGGTGCAGGCGGTGCCGAAGAGCTTGCACAGGAGTAGGACTCTGCTGCCAACACCCATCCTGCGAAACAGCCGGTCCGACATGTGGCACGGCCAACCGCAGAGACCTCCCCCTTGTCCAACTCCTGTCCTCCTCCTCCCCCTACTCCCTCCTCCTCCTCCTACTCCTCTTGATCCTCCTCCACATTATCATCTTCATCCTCAGGTTTCTCTCATCCTCCTCCTCATAATCATCATCCTCTTCCTTCTCCTCCTCCTCCTCCTCCTCCTCCTCATCATCATCGTCATCATCATCATCATCATCATCATCATCATCATCATCATCATCATCATCATCATCATCATCATCGTCATCAACAGCATCATCCTCATCACCACCATCAGTATCATCATCATCATCATCATCATCGGCAGCATCAGCATCACCATCATCACCATCAACATCATCACCACCATCATCACCATCATCATCACCATCATCATCGTCAAGATCAACATCAGCATCAGCAGCAGAATCATCATCATCACCGTCCTCGTCCTCATCCCCATCCTCATCCCCATCATCCTCCCCCTCGTTATACTCCCCCTCCCAAAGAAAATTCTTCAGAGCAACGCAGCTGATTGACTTTCAGTGACTTCCGAGGGTGGAAGGCACCCAGAGGGCCAGTGTCGACAGGTAGCCAACGCCGCGTGTGCACAGAAGGAGGTTGAGCAGGAAGGACGGGAATGAGGAGGCGGCCAGGCCGCCAGCCTGCAGCCCAGTCCACGCGACGCACTCGGTGCCCTCGCAGCGAAAGGTCGTGTTCACAGCGCGCTCGACGTATGTTCTCACGCTGGCCTGCGGGCAACTGGACGGCGGTCCTCATCCTCCTCCTCCTCCTCCTACTCCACCTCTGCCTCCTCATCGTCCTCCGTCCTCCTCATCGCCCCCCGTTTCCTCCTCCTCCCTTCCTCTTCCTCCTCCTCCCACATCTTCTTACGACTAATACGGCTATGACTACTACTACTACTACTGCTACTACTACTACTACTACTACTACTACTACTACTACTACTACTACTACTACTACTACTACTACTAC